ATCAAATAAGACACTGAATACTAATGCTGCCTTGTACTATGAAAATGGAGTTACAGTTCAAAGCAACACTATAACAATCAGTAAGTAATACACAATTAATACATTATGATATTTACTTATTTTAAGGTACTCATGACCTGAACTTGACATTGATTAATGTTTCATCAATTTCTGTTTGTGTTCAGTTTCAGTTTGTCAATGGCAGTAAACCTAATATTGATAGTATTCTGATCATTGGTAATCAAGGTTTGATCCATTGGGCTGACAATACATTTCTTAATGATTCATTGAACTTTATTCATTGTATCAATGACATACCAGCTGGTAACAACTTAATACTGTATGTATGTCGTTATTGGGTGAATGTTGATGACTGTACTACTAATCCTCTTGCTGTAATAACTGGTATTAATATTACTGATGACTTTACATCTTCAGTTCTAATGTCATCAGCTCATTCATTAGTCCCAACTACTTCAGCTGTATCAGCTACTCCATCAGCATCAAGGTTCCCATGGGCCAGCATAAGTAGTAGCATAGATGATTGTAAGTGTAAATTTGTTTGTGTAGCTGTAGTATACTTTAATGTCTTCGCTTCATATCATTGTTAACAATTTTGTCCATAGCTTCTTCATTCCTCACTTCTTCATCATTCGTATCATCAAGTAGTATGGCCACAGACTGCACGATACGTTCTACAGTTACTGCAACAAGAGATGATTGTTTTAATTCCTGCACTAATTCACCAGTATTGAATACTATATTAGGTGTATTCCTCATACTGTCACTAATGATTAATGTTATTACATTAACTGTGTGTTACTGCAAGAGGAAAGGGAAGAATGGTGAAAGTATGTTAATTTATGTTAAAGATTTACTATGATGAATTGTATTACAGTTTCACAAGAACAAGAACTATCATCAGTTAATCCACGGTATGAGAATGTACATCTACCAGTTCCACAATCAGAACTATCAATGGAAGAATGTGCTGCTTATGGTGTAGTGGAGGGATCAACTACAAAACTTTAACTTTGAAACTTTTTGTGTGATAACATTACAGCTGAACCAATAATTTTTTTGCAAAACCTTAAAATTATTTTAACTTGTAAATAGAGTGAGTGGGCGTGGTTATGTTAAAATTTTTTAAATGGCGGAAGATTTGGCTTTATTCTCTTCACTATTTCAAGGAGCCTTTCCAGGTCAGTGAGTGTTCTACCTATCAGATAAAAATGAATGTTTAATTTTTTAGAGGAATGGAAAAGAGATCCTGAATTTGTGAGATATCTCTCAGAATTAACTTCATTCTCCATCAAACGACTCAGTGAGGAACTAATGTTAATAATTAACATTTAAAATCTCATTCCAGCACGGGAACCAGACCTGATCAAAGAGGAACAGGAATGCGTCTTGAACTCAACACAAAATCTTGCATTTAATAATTACAAGACATTTATACAGACTGCCGAATGTTCTAGAGAAGTATTTCGAGAGGTGCGACGTTATTAAAATTATAACAGTTAGTTAACCATAATCTTATTAATAGTTTATTGCAGTTGAAGACCACGTCAATAAATTAATTGATAAGTTACCGAATTTCTCCTCCTCTTGTAAGCAGTTTGGCAAAGACGCTCAAGATATAAGCAGCAAGTCAGCCATTGTTATCGCATTTAAATAAAAATTATTAATATTAATTTTTAAAATATTTTTTAGACGTAAACTCAATTCCCTAGCTCTATCAAGACACACCCAGTTATTGGAGATATTAGAGATACCACAATTAATGGAGACATGTGTACGTAATGGCTATTATGAGGAGGCACTGGAACTGAGTTCACACGTGAAACGAATGGAAAAGAAGCACAACAACATACCTATTATTAAAGTACCTGTCTCTATTTATAGTATCGCGATCATTGCATAGTTCTGTTACTATTTTTAGAATATTGCATCTGATATAGAGCGCTGCTCTAATCTGATGTTGATGGAGTTGATCCAGCAGTTGCAAGGAAGCATACAGCTACCGTCTTGTCTCAGGTTGGTCGGTTTGCTGAGGAGGATGGACATTTTCAACGAATCTCAATTGAGACTCAAGTTTCTACAGGTTGGTGAGCCTTCGTATGTATGTTTGGTAATCAAATGTATATTTACTAGTCGAGGGATTACTGGTTGCAGTCAGTCCTGTCTTCAATACCTAAGGATGATCGTAAGTAGTCTCCTAATTTTTATTACATTTTCTGATACATATTGATGTACTTATGCTATGTAGAAAGTTTGAGCTGATTCCGAGCTCAAATTTTTGAGTTGCGGCCATTTTTTTAGATGAGCGAAAATCTGAAAAAATCCCTGTACTATTATAGCCCATGGTTTTTTCCGAAAAAAGCCTCCGAAATGACCTTCAATTTTTATTACATTTTCTGATACATAGTGATGTACTTATGCTATGTAGAAAGTTTGAGCTGATTCCGAGCTCAAATTTTTGAGTTGCGGCCATTTTTTCAGATGAGCCAAAATCTGAAAAAATCTCTGTACTATAGCCCATGGTTTTTTCTCAAAAATGGCTCCGAAATGACCCCCAATTTTAATAACTTTTTATGATACAAATTGATGTATTAATGCTATGTAGAAAGTTTGAGCTGATTCCGAGCTCAAATTTTTGAGTTGTGGCCATTTTTTAAAATGAGCCAAAATCTGAAAAAATCCCTGTACTATAGCCCATGGTTTTTCCAAAAAATGGCTCCGAAATGACCCCCAATTTTTATTACATTTTCTTATACATATTGATGTATTAATGCTATGTAGAAAGTTTGAGCTGATTCCGACTTTAATTTTTCAAGTTATAGCCATTTTTTAATGCCAAAATTTTGAAAAATAGCCAAGGCTATAGCCCATGGTTTTTTCCGAAAAATGGCTCCAGAATGACCCCAAATTTTTATTACATTTTCTGATACATATTGAT